TATTCAGTCAGTAGAATAATGGATCGAATTAGACAAGCAGCCATAAATCGTACTTTATTTTCACATTCTGCGACATTAGGATGGACCACAGGAACATCAGCTTCTTAAACGGTCCCAGAGCTGCCAGAGCGCGCTGCATCGTGATGGATATGGGCCGGTCACCATATTGGAACAAACATCCGGGGATTTTCGATGCCTATTGCTCAGAACAGTGTAGCATAAGCGAAACGATTAGAATGGCCGCAGTAAACGTCGTCTAGGCATACCTCTTCATATGCGGCCCGGAATTCTCCTCCTGGAGCCATACCTATTTGACGGGTAATGTGAGCTGATACATTGAGCAACAACGCTTGCGTTAAGCCGCGCATTACTCCGAACTAAAAGGCAGCAAGATTATGCAAACAACTTCGTCAGTGAGGCCGCAGACATTAAGCAGGTAACACCTTTGTCACATTACAACGCAACTCATCTATGACTATCTTCTTTCTAGTAAAACATTGTAAGAAATATAATGAATTAGTAGCTCTTTCACAGAACAGCTTAGCTTTTACTCAGGAGCGCATATGAACGAGGGAAATATCATGCAGTTTGTATGTAACTACGAAAGAGCAGCTGCAGTGTTCCATGCTGTCATTATATACAAGTTATTACATCGGACGATAAAAATACTCAAACTAAGATATCGCCAGAAATTAGTATACGGCATTTAAAAACATCACTTACTCTCTTCAAAGAATGCACGCATTTTTCATAATGCGAAATTTCATCTAACATGGTTTAACGGCGTGATATCATCACCCATTGCTCATAGATACCTAAAGCGCCATTTAGGCATGTCACGTGCTATTTAACGTGTGCAGCGCAGAGACTTGTCTCAATTCTTTACGAAGCTCCGTGCTCGTCATTGTGAAGCTCTAAGATGCAGTATTTTCACATATCACAAAATAAGAAACATAACGTTGACTGCCGAGAATATGTTAATAAGCAAAACTTTATGTAGGGGGAAGGCCGGATGATTCATAGCGTAGCGTGCATTAAAACTTGCCGACTAGTCGGCTATGATTATAACTGTCAAAACGCATGCCATAAAGGCATCCCAACAAAATGCCCGACCTGAGCATGGTATGTAGATAGACTAATAAGAACCAATTATGCTGCGAACCAATTGTCGATCCAATGCTTCGCATTCTACTTTAGAGATATGACTTTGGTTGACTTGTTAACTATTATACTTGATATCAGCACACTGACCCGAAATATCTATAATAAAAACGAGTCTAAAGAAGACTGAATAAATAACGGAGCACAATGGAATTAAACTTAAGCGAGGAAGTGCGGCTGCAGATCACCTATTTGCATTACAAGTGAATAGATGCCAAAAAGATACTGATCAAAAAATTTTCATTTTAAGCACACATGTGACAGTGTTTGACATGGTCTATAAAAGGAAACGGAAAATGAAAGAATGCCGACGACATGGCTGAAATGATTGTCAAAACAGACAAAGAACTCAAGAAATGGTACAAGCTACTGGCAGGAGTCAAACGCCGTTGCACGTTACATTCTTTGTATCAGCTTGATATTATACTGCAAGTAAAAATGAAGCAAACATCTGAAAAATCGAATTTCACCATTTCTGACAATGAGCAATGAACTATTTGCCAATGACTTTAACACACTCGCTTTTGACCATACAGCACTGCAAGTACTCCCAAGATATTTAAAAAGTTACTTTTGAGGTGGAACCATAATATGGGTTAACGTGGAAACTGACCACAGTCATAACAGCTAGCACCAAACGAGAAGGAACGTTCCAGAAGAAGAGTAAAAAAGCATCAGGATGTGCAGAGGGTTTAATTTCGAAAAATGGAAGGTGCGCCCATAATATCGAAAGGTGAATAAAATTAGGTTTGTAATAATGGAACAGTTGGACATGATTAGAAGAGCAAAGAACGTATACAAAACCTAAACACACCGTTGCATTACACTTCTCTATATTTGAATGACAACGTATTACATTGCCAAAACAGAGACCTTAAGAACACGTTACAGGTACTGCAGATGAAATGCATGCGTAAAGTTAAAGGAGTCTCCAAACTGAGTAGAGCTTGCAATGACGCGAAAAGGAAAGTGTGATAAACAGAAAGGGCAATGACAGACAGAATAGAGGAATGTCGGCTTACACCTGGAAGAAGTAACACCAAAGAGATTCCAAAAAAAGCTTTTATAAAACATACTGAATTTAAAGGAAAGTAACAGTGAAAAATGAACTGAAGGAGTGACAAAGATATGAAATAAGCGACAGAAGATCATAAACCAAAAGCAACTTCGCCAGAACAGACAATGGAGAACTGTATGAAAAACGTTTGTCCATCAGCCAACATGAAAAGAAAATGAAAATGAAGAGAAAGCATATGACAAAAAGGAATCAAATATGACTCCAAAATGTCAGGAATTTGGGTAGTAAATATGCGTGCGGAGTTGTTCTGTAAGGAGTATACAGTCCATCGACAATGCTACAGTTGTACCATCAATGAACGAAACAACCGTTTTTACAACTTTGCTATTAAATAGTTTTAGTTACAATGTTTAATAAAACCATGCATTAATGTAAAATAAACGATTCTGAAAGAGACTGTCAGACAGCACGGATGATCAAAGAGGTAGGGTGATTTTAACATGGCGAAATCGACAATCCTTCGTGCCTTGGCTATGCGATCACTGAAACAACGTACCTGTTTAATCATAGAAAACACTCGCTCTGTAGACAGCTTGCTGGCTTCCATCAGAAGATTCTCTTCGTCCATGTGAAGCACAACTGACCGGCTTCTACACAGCTCAACCACGACGGCTTCTGGCACCCACGTTCTAATAATCTGTTCACGAATGAGTCACAGATTTGCCTGCAGCTCGCATTTCTGAACAAGCGCTTACCTGCCGAACGTCCATTTGACTTTCTTTGCTAAAATGAGACGTACCAACGAGAAGCAACTTGCCTACGATTACGTTTTCCCTCGTTTCATCATTCTCGCCGCTGCACTTTGCGACGCATTTCAGCATTGTAACTACAGAAACACGCATTAAAAATCAAGCTAAACAAAGAACATGGTAAAAATACAATAGTTCTATGACCTTTCAATGCAGTGTACCATTCCGCAATTGTGCGCGGTTTCGCGGAATCTCATGAACAAACCCAGCAAATGAAAACGATTAAAAAACCAGCGCCTTTCAGTACGCCGTGAAAACCCATGGATAACATTTCAGAAGACTGTACTAAAGAGCTTCTCAAGCATTGACACACCAACAGTATTTCGAAAGAAGCTTTAAATCATTCTGTTGCATATTTCCCAGATCGCACTTTTTCAGTCATCAATCACTCATGACCACAGATGATTCTAAGTGAACTGAAAATATTTGCACCGTGTTGCTTTCCAACTTTTCATCGTCACCAACAGCGACTTAGCGAACGCACTCCTGCGTTTACTTAACCAAATAATGTCGCCTCTTCCACGTTCTACCTGCAGACGCTCTTAAATACTGGATAAAGACAAAACTGATACAAATGCGCTGCACCAGTTGTGCAATCCAGAGCACACAAAGTGATCTTTCTCGAGGGTACACTTCCCTGAACTCCATAATGCTCTCATCACATACAACAGCAAATTACACCGGCACGGCGAGGTCAGCATGGGAAAATGCGAACATGACGAGATTACCTGCAAACAGAGAATGCCTCAGTGGGGTGGGTATTGTGGTTGATTCAGTTCATAAAAATGATGAACAAGAGAGAAAAAATCTTTCATTTTGACAGGAATCAACATTTTGCAGTTAATTCGGGTACAGATCAGCGAACAGTCGTATAAAGATTTGATGGCAGTCGGTAGCTAGCAATCCCCGCCATATTTACGCGGCATT